TTACATTAAAGAGATACTTCTACCAGATTTCAGACGAAAAATTTGTTTTGTTGGTGTAAATCAATGTACTATATTATATTATCATTGTAAGGTGACCATTTGTAGTGTAGTTGATTTAAATGGTATCAAATAGCGTGGGACTTGTCAAACTTAGTTTTTTGTTTATCTGTAAATGTAATTTGTGTTGTCACAATACTGAAGTGTCACTAGTTGTTAACTATCCCAAAGAAATTGTATGATTCTCTCCAGTTTTAATAACAGAAATTGGCATTGACTGTAGAAAGACTAGCACCATTAATTTATTTTGTTTTCTTTAATAAGCTCATACCTTTAGTGCACTCAGAATTACTGGCTTGGTGTTTTTCATTTATTGTCCAACTGAGAGGAATTATGATGACCGCTGACTTTGAAATGAACACCATATGTTGTATCTGTGACTGTAAGGATGGGAAGCATAAAGAATTAAATGATTCTGGGTCTTATTTCAATTCCAGGTGTTTTGGTTCCTTGGCGACTCTTTTAAGAAAATGTAGTGTGTTTTTTAGGAAGAAAACAAATAGACAAATTTAGAAACTATTTCTTATAGCATGTGAGATAAAATGTTAAATGTTAATGACACATGAGAAGAGCTAATTTCAATGGACTAGGAGCCATCAAAGAGCAGCAAATCACTGATTTAAGCTGTTTATTCCAGTAGGAGTGTAAACAATATGAAATGCTGAGCACAATAAATATCAGATGGTCACAGTGATATCTCTTTTAGTTGAACATAGTATAAAGCAATTGTATATTATCCTTACGACAGCAGCAGTGGGCATGAATCTCATTTTAGTCAGAGATGATTTCCTGTGTGAATGACTGCAGACAGACTTCCAGACGCTGCCACCAAATGTTTGTCAAAGCTGAGATTGAATTTAGCTGGGTGAATCATTTGATCCATAATTTATAAGGCAGAGATAAATGCCATCGAGACCTTGTGTTGACTGTGGCTTAATATTCTTCTGCCTCAGATTAGTTGTATACATGCAAGCCAGGTCCTGACTCGCTCGTGTATGACTACTAACATAGTTTGAATGGTAAAATGAAAATGGAATAGTTAATGAGGTGGAATAGTGTTGTGCGGTAGAGTGCAACAGTCAGTTTACTGAAAGAAAAATCCTATTCATTTTGTTCATGAGAAAAAAATTATTTTAGTGATATGTACACCTTTTAGGACAGATCTACCATGAGCTCTGAGGTTGTTACAGTGGTAATTCACCATTGTCAAGATGGGACTTGCAGCAGAAATGCAAAAATTAAAATAAATATATGAATAAAATTGGTGTGACGTGACTAGAGAATACAGAGAAAAAGGGCTGTGGCATTTCGTTTCACTAAAAACACCCATAATGAACTTTTGATTTTTGTGCTGTTGATCTGAAACATGGAAAAAGAGTAAACACTGTTCATTTACATACAGTGGGGAAAAAAAGTATTTAGTCAGCCACCAATTGTGCAAGTTCTCCCACTTAAAAAGATGAGAGAGGCCTGTAATTTTCATCATAGGTATACCTCAACTATGAGAGACAAAATGAGAAAAAAAAAATCCAGAAAAATCCATTGTAGGATTTAAGAATTTATTTGCAAATTATGGTGGAAAATAAGTATTTGGTCAATAACAAAATTTCATCTCAATACTTTGTTATATACCCTTTGTTGGCAATGACAGAGGTCAAACGTTTTCTGTAAGTCTTCACAAGGTTTTCACACACTGTTGCTGGTATTTTGGCCCATTCCTCCATGCAGATCTCCTCTAGAGCAGTAATGTTTTGGGGCTGTCGCTGGGCAACACAGATTTTCAACTCCCTCCAAAGATTTTCTATGGGGCTGAGATCTGGAGACTGGCTAGGCCACTACAGGACCTTGAAATG